GCGGTCCAGAACAACTGCCTGAAAGCAAAGACACGCAGAAACATGGAGGCGAACACGGAGCGAACGTTTGCTGACTTTGCTGGATCCTAGAAAATGAAAAGTTCCGAAAATTTCGAGGAACTTCTAAAAGCTCTCGGTGAGTTTTCAAGATTCGTTGTTGTTATAAAAGTTATATCTAAGATAATTAAAACAAAATCTCTAGTTTTTAAATGTGAACTTTGTATTCGTATTAGTTTATATATTTTTAATTATAATCAGTTTTTTATATATATATTTTGTGATGTTTAAAAAATTTAAAGGTAGTGTAACTTTCTTTAGATTGTAAAAAAAAAAAAAAAGTCTAATTAAAAGCCCGAAAAAGGAACTGTTTGCATAATTAATTTAATATACATATTTTATTACGCCTTTAAAAATAAGCAACAATGCTATTTTGTTATAAAATTAGCCATTTTGATATCATCCGACAAGAAAACTATAAACCAAAAGAAACCCTTGCATGAGTGCATGTCAATGTCATTTATTTATTTATAAAAAATATATTTTGTTCAGGTCAAACTGAGACTCGCTTTGACCATGAGCACAAGCTGCATGAAAAAAATGTTCTGCTTCACTTCCTCATGGGATTGTGATTAGGCGCACAAAACCTGATACAGGGCCCCTCGGTCAGCCATTTGGCTCTGTAGACACACCGTCCCTCGACCCCAATTATTCACTCAAGGGGGAGTTCACTTAGACCAAGTACACAGTTGCCCCTAAATTAAATAAAGATGAGAATGAATCCACTGTCTTGACTCAGTATTTAAAAGGTATAGATTTCCTTGGTGTAAACATTAAGACTGTGGTACCTGATTTGATTGCTTAAATATGTGACCGCTATTTAGATAGTAAAACATTCCAGTGCAGATTGGACACACTTGTTAAGGACAGGAAATTGGCCGTAGGAAAAATGGCTTTGATTTCTGATAATGATAAATGGCCTTTTAATTTCTTATCACATTTGTGTGTGTGTGTTCTACAGGCGTAAATGTCTTTCTGAGGAAGATTGCAGTTGCAGCAGCTTCCAAACCATCTGTTGAGATTACACAGCAGGGGGAAAGTCTCTCCATTCAGACCTCCACTAGTGTGCGGACCACTCATGTGTCCTTCACGGTGGGCGAGTCCTTCAACGAGGCTACGGTGGATGGACGCCTTTGCACAGTAATGCCACCCATCCATGCATCTCAGCACATCATATTTTTCTCTCTGTTAACTGCTACACTTTAGCATATTGCATAAGATTTACCATTAGAAAATATCAATGTCTTCAATGTATTATTATTTATATTTTCTAAAACTAAACACCACTATGTGATGGTAAAAGTTCACTTTTATCTATACACACAAACATGATGTATGTTTTCAACAAACTTTGAGACTCTATAAAGACATTTAAAATTAATATCTCTGCTTTTAGCTCTTTTCTAACTGTTTCTAACAATTTCTCGCCAGAGTTTTCCAAAATGGGAGACCGACCGTAAAATCACTTGTGAGCAGACGCTGCAGAAGGGGGAGGGGCCTGAGACATCATGGACACGTGAACTGACCAATGATGGCCAGATGATTCTCGTAAGTGCACCACTTATTTGAAAAATAATGTTAATATTTTTAACTGAATTATGCCACTAGCATATGTGACCCTGGACCACAAAACCAGTCATAAGGGTCAATTTTTCGAAACTGAGATTTATACATCATCTGAAAGCTGAATAAATAAGCTTTCCATTGATGTATGGTTTGTTAGGACAGGACAATATTTGGCCGGGATACAACTATTTGAAAATCTGGAATCTGAGGGTACAAAAAAATCAAAATATTGAGAAAATCGCCTTTAAAGTTGTCCAAATGAAGTTCTTAGCCATGCATATTACTAATCAAAAATTAGGTTTTGATATATTTACAGTAGGAAATTTACAAAATATCTTAATGGAACATGATCTTTACTTAATATCCTAATGATTTTTGGCATAAAAGAAAAATCAATAATTTTGACCCATACAATGTATTTTTGGCTATTGCTACAAATATACCCAGCGACTTAAGACTGGTTTTGTGGTCCAGGGTCACATATAAAATAGACTACTTCTAGCCTACTCTAATGAGCATCTTAAAAGCTCAACACCTTACAATAATAGATTGTTGTTCATTCCTCACCATATAGTTCACATTATTATAGAAGTCACACTGCTCCCATTTAGGCCACTTAAAGTAAACAGGTAGCTCAATGTCTGTGCTTTTTGTTCCTAATAGATATTTTGTAACTTTCATTTAGGTAAGTCAGTGTTGCATGGTTGGAAATTGAAAAGAGCATTCTTTGAATTCAGAGAACAAGATCTGGTCAGATATGTGAATATATAACATCTGTTGATATGTTTAAGCCCATTGGACAAGGATCTTAAATGGTTTAAGCAGTTAGTTGGTGGTTTCTTAACATCTCTGATGTTTATCTTCCAGACCATGAGAGCCGGAGAGTCGTCTGCACCCGTGTGTATGAACGAGACTGAAGGATCCTAAGATTTCAGTTCATTCTATTCCATTCCATCTCAACCGTGTCCACAATGTGCTAAAATTCTAGTTTATCATTGAACAAATAGCCTGTTCCTTCCACTTTTTGTATGTTTGTGCATACATGGCTAAGTTTGTGCAGAGTGCAGAGTGGCTAAGTTTGTGTGGCAGAGAAGGCAGAGAAGGAGAGATGTTTGAAGGGTCAGAGACGGTACTTGTATAAGGATTATAGTGAGTTTGCATTGTTCTTTTTGGTGCATTGGCTGAAAAGTGTATTTATTATTGTCGTTTGTGCATTTTATGTTTCTGTTTTATGTTTATGCCACAATGTGGCTTATTAATCAAAAATGTTTTGGCGATAAACCTTTCTACTTATAAACCCCCCAAAAATCTCATGACTAATTCATGATAATAGTTATTTTCTTGCCTGGATATAGAAATCTCTTTGACACTAGCCTTGGTTGCACTTTTACACTTATTTTCTGCCTCATTCCTTTTCTTCAAAGTGCTCTTTGTGTCTGTTCTTGCTTTCTGTCTCCTGATCCAACCACTTACAGTTTTGAACACTATAAATTTGTATTTCATGAGTGTACATCAATTGTTGAATTATTTCCTGGCAAGGAGTAATGGGGGAATGCGGGAGAGGTACGGAAAGAGTGAGCAAACGTTAGAAAAGAAAAATCATTTCATATTTTTAAGGTTATATTCCCTCTGCTCTTTCTCCCATCTGTAGCTAGTTACTGCATGAGGTCAGAGAGGACGGCTGTCATTTCCCTTTCTTTTTGTCTTTCTGCAGCCAGATTCATGATCCAAACTGTTGCTTTATTCTAAATCTAGGGCAAATGCTTCTGAAAGTTTAATTAAATAATATGTACGAGTAAATGATGCAAAAAGCTGCTAATGAAAAGCAAAATGAAGTTCAAACTCTTTCTTCTGCCCTCCGTATCTTTCTTTTTTACTATGTAGCAGAGTTCAGAGACTGCTGTGTTTTTCAGTCTGCTGCCGATGATGAATTTTCCAGGCAACAGAGCTCACAGTGGACTTATTCAAGTTTGCACATAATTCCAGTCTCCTGTGTTGCGCATGTGTGTTCTACAATTCTCAATGGTCCTGTAAAGAGTTTTAAGCTTACATAACCCATGATGTCTTAAAAGTGTATGTGTGCTGCAATGTACAGAGGTTGCCGTTAAGTTCACACATTTCCTGGAAGAGGTTGAAAAAATCCATAACCTCTGTTTAACATCAGAGGCAGTGACTGTATTGTTGTGGTGCTTGCTGAAGCAAGAATCACTGCAAGAATCATTGCAACCACCCACAACAACCACTCAGAGCACTCTAAAAACCACCTGGCAATGCCTTAGCAACCACCAAGAACACCCTAACAACCACCTAGCAGCCACCCAGAACTCTGTAACAACCTAGCATAGGGTTAGCAACAACCAAGAAACCCCCAGCAAACACCTAGCAATGACCTGGCAACTATTTGCACACACACAGCAGCAAGTAGTGAACACACACCCAGAGCAGTGGGCAGCCATTTTTTGCTGTGGCAACTGGGGGTTCGGTGCCTTGCTCAGTTGTGGGTACTGAGGGTGGAACAGAGCACTGTTCATTCACTCCCCCCACCTACAATTCCGGTCGGTACAGAGACTCGCACCCGCAACCTTTGGGTTACAAGTCCAACTCTCTTACCATTAGGCCACGACTGCCCCCTAAACCGCCCAGTCTTGCCATTGCTATTGTCATAACAACTACCTTGCAATGCCCTAGCAACAATCCATAACCCCCAAAAACCATCTAAAAATGCCCAGGCACCCCTTCAGAATCTTCATAATGAATCCTCCAGTAAACTCCTAGCAATGCATAGAAACCACCCAGAACACCATAACAACCACTTTGCAATGCCCTAGCAACCATCTATAAATCACCTAACATACACCTTTCAATACACTAGCACCTATCTATAACCCCCAACAACCATCTACAATTCTAAGAGCAACTACTGAGAACCCCCTTGCAATCACTCATCACCCTAATAATGATCTATAGCAGGGGTGGCGAACGTCAGTCCTGGAGAGCCGCAGCCCTGCAGAGTTTTGCTTCAACCCTAATCAAACACACCTGTACAAGCTAATCAAGGTCTGAAGGGTTACTAGAAAGCTATAGGCAGGTGAGTTTTAATTAGGGCTGCGGCTCTCCAGGACCGGAGTTCGCCACTGCTGATCTATAGCAATGCCCCAGCAACCACCCAGAACACCCTAGATGCGTTCCATTCAACCGTAAGTGGACTGCAAAGTGGATTTCACATGGTATTCCGCCATCTTAAAGGGTTAGTTCACCCCAACAATGAAAATTTCTGTTATTAATTACTCACCCTCATGTCATTCCAAACCTGTAAGACCTTCGATCATCTTCGGAATGCAAAGTAAGATATTTTTGATAAAATCTAAGAGTTTTCTGACCCTGCATAGACAGCAAAGCAACTGACACATTCAAGGCCCAGAAAGGTAGTAAGGACATTGTTAAAATAGTCTGTGTGACAGTGGTTCAACCGTAATGTTATGAAATTACGAGAATACTATTTGTGCGCAAAGAAAACAAAAATAACGACTTTATTCAATGATTTATCCTCTCCGGGGAGAGTCCTCCATCATTATCAAGAGTACCACGACGTATGCACTGCGCCTTGTTTACAAGCAGAGGAATGCTCACGCATGCATGGTGTAATCTCGTAGCTTCATAAAATAATGGTTGAACCACAGATGTCACATGGACTATTTTAACGATGTCCTTACTATGTTTCTGGGCCTTAAACGTGTCAGTTGCTTTGCTGTCTATGGAGGGTCAGAAAGCTTTCGGATTTCATCAAAAATATCTTAATTTGTGTTCCGAAGATGAACGAAGGTCTTACGAGTTTTGAATGACATGAGAGTGCGTAATTAATCCCAGAATTTTCATTTTTGGTTGAACTAACCCTTTAAGTAAGATTCCAATCTGAAGGAAATCGGACCTGTTCAGTTCGAAGGGCACTGCGGCATAGGGAATAAGGGATACATCGCTTCACAGGAAGCAGACAGGGAAAATCACCCAACTGTTATTGGCTCTGTAATGAGGGGTTATTATTAAATGTTGTTATTATTATACAAACTAGAGTATTTATGAATGGTAATGACGATGAATGTTACATTTTCATAATGTATTGTATGAATAGGTGAAACTAAGTAAAACCATCGAGAAACAACTGAGGCTCTGTCATTTTTAATTTTACTTTATTTACCTCAGGTGACTTAACTATGAGGCTGCGTGTGGGAAAGAAAGCACTCGAGATGACCACTACAATCTGCTAACTGTCTAACATACATTTTGACTATATTTATTAGATACATAATTGTTTATGTATTTTATATGTATTTAAATTTTAAAGTAAAATAAATTACAATATTTATTTTTTGTTATATCATTATCTGCGTGACCCCATCATAACTTTTCTCTGAAAACATTCCAGGGCTTTCCAAATGACTAATTATTGTCAGCTAAGTCCACTTCAATGGATATCCCGTGCTTAGGGATGTCAATTGGAATGCTCCTCCTAACAATTATCTAGCAATGGCCTAGTAACCACCCAAACTATCCTAACAACCACTTAGCCTACACCTAGAAACAGAACATCCTAGCAATTCCTAGAAACCACCTAGCAATTCCCTAGCGACCCTTCAGAAAACCCATATCAATCCCCTTAGCAACCACGCAGAAATCCACTGTAACCGCCTTGCAATGTCCTAGCAACCATCCAGAATAACAACCAGCTTGCAATCCCATTTAAAAAACCCTAACAACTACCTTGCAAATGGCATAGCGACCATCTATAACCCTATATCAGTGACCTCGCAACCACCTAGAACCATCTAACAATCATCTAGCTCAGGCCTAGCAACAACCCAGAAAGTCCTAAAAGCCCCTCAGAAACCCAATAACAATTTTCTTACTTTCCATGCAGAAATCCCAGTAACCACCTAGCAATGCCCTAGTAGCAACCACCCAGAACACCCTCACAACCACCTAGCAACACCTTAGCAACCACCCTCAGCACCTTTCACTGTGGCGGCAAGTTGTTGCTAACGTTTTTTTCAGAAAATGCACATTTGCACAGCATTCATTCTATTTGTTCCATCTGTCTGTCTGGGCTTCTTGACTCACTTTTCAATTCCAAGCGAATGCCAAAATGCTTTGAGACACGGTTTCACATCTGCTGCGATGCCTGGTGTGTTTACTGCACACCTCGTTAACAAGATTAATATTACAAGCACTCTAGAACAAGGTCATCAAGTCTTCACCATGTATTTAACTCTGGCCTTGTGCGGTTTAAGCCTATTGTGCTGGTTGCCTTGGCAACTCACCAGCATAGGCTTCATGTCAGCTCATTCCACAGGCGGTGATGTCATGGGGCCATGCATGGCTTGATTGGCTGAGGAATGTTGCGGTTTCAAAGGAAAGCAAAAGGAAGCACGGACACACCCACTTAGAGACGAGAAAAAGAGGTTTCAAAGGAAAGATGGTTTAGGGAATTAAGAGTGACTAATCTTTGTCACTTCAGCATAACCTTCCTCTGAACTCACAGATAAAGAACATATTGTTTCTCTATGAATGATTCATTTACGGTCCCATTCCTGTTTACCATCGCTCTGTCATGCTCACTGATTAATGTATTGCATTTGAACTTCACTGGAAGTTTGCACACCAAGATCAGAGCATACAAATAATGCGATCCAGGAGCCATGCTGTTTCAAAGTCAATTGGTGGAGTGTCTAGTTTCTTGGTTTCCATTCAATATGTGTGAATTTCATCCACATCTGGTCAAGACTGAAGTCAAAGTGCTGAATGAATTGTTTGTGGAACACTTTGTATCCTAGCAGCAGCTGCAGAAATGATCAGAGAAAGCAACTTCAACACCTGCAGTCAGTGAGGTCAAACTTTCAGTGACATAAAGTGAATTTGTAAATCAAAGTAAATGAGTTTTATGAAAGAGCACGAAGAAGGGTGATTGTGTGTGCGTTGGTTGGTGGCGTAGTGGTATATTTGTGTGTTGTGAGGTATCATATGATATGACTGACTTTCTGCCCTCCTGTCACCCATGAACTCACATGACTAGAGAATTGCAAGCCTTCAGCCATCTTCCCCGTGTGACAACTTGCCCCTGTGGTCCTACCTATATTTTACAGAGGGAAATTACGTTGCTGCCTCGAGGCAACAGTGACGTCTAGTGGTTGAATGAGGAACAGGAACAGCATGAGATTAAATATTAAATCGTACCGGATGGATGGATGTACAGACAGACAGACAGACAGACAGACAGGGTGATAGATAGATAGATAGATAGATAGATTTTAGAAATGATAGGCCATGCTGTTGTTGAAATAATATAATACACTGAAATACAACTATTTTGGTTTTTTAGGAGAAACACCCCCTTGCTTTTCTCCTCAGATATGCGCTTTTTCACAACAATTCTCCCTCATCATGTGATAAAATAGCGCTTTCTCATTGGCTCTTCCTCGTCATGTGGCGCAGCTTTTTCCTCAAAGCTTCAGTTCTGCTGTGTTGCCATGTCCACTAAATATAAGTAATTATAGGTCTCTGTTATTCGCTTACAAGTTAACGACTAGTTTATTTCTAGTTGTAATGTGAACTATTTTAATTATATTTTTGTAAATGGGATTGATTTTCAAAAATACGTTATTTTGCTGTTTACTCATCCGAAAAGAAAAACAGAATGGCCTGTTCAAATTTGTTTTTAAATTCAATTATTTGTTTTTATTGCGCAACCTGGCAACACCCTTGTCATGTGATATGAACACATTTCCTGTACACTAGCGCTACACAACAGCGCTGTCAACTGAAACAAAATCGTGTCGCTCGTCGGATCTAACAAAGGAAAATAAATACATAATTTAAAAAACCAAAGAAGAAGACCACAAACCACTGTAATATTAGGACAGAACTTGCTATTGACTTGACACGGATACCTGACGTGTCGTTGTAATGTTGGTTGGTTAGCTAGTTAGTGTTAACTGGTCGCGGTGTGAATTGTTTGTTTTAAATTGACTTATTACAATCTGGTATTTACTAAACTGGATTGACTTCTGCCTGTAACTGCCCGCTACACAACACTGTTCTGGTGTTTACCTGTTCATCGCGGTTGAGTTTAACCTCTTTTTACATCTTGGCGAGATCTAATCTGCCAAACCAGTACCAAAATGTCAAAATACACCACTTTTGCTGATGCAGCTGATGACCATAATCCATTTCAGGTAATATACTGTTCTAGCTTTTGTAATTGTACATCACATATCTGTTTGAGTTGTTTTTATTTGTGGCCTTATCTGTGTAGTGCTGTACCTCTTGTGATGCTGTCACATGACTTGACAAGTCATCAAAGGCCAGGCCAATCATATTAAGCTACATGACTGTGGTTTTGTATGAATGATCACGCCAATCTGTGTCCTTGACATTCTGGTTTGTATTTGAACTGCTAGTTGTTGATCACTTGTTGCTTTAAGTATGGCTAAATTAAAGGAATCAACTAATGAAATTTAAAAAAATGATTATATGAAACGGCGACAAGTCATCAAAGGCCAGGCCAATCATATTAAGCTACATGACTGGTTTTGTATGAATGATCACTCCAATCTGTGTCCTTGACATTCTGGTTTGTATTTGAACTGCTAGTTGTTGATCACTTGTTGCTTTAAGTATGGCTAAATTAAAGGAATCAACTAATGAAATTTAAAAAAATGATTATATGAAACGGCATGTATAAATAGACTGTCAGTTTGGACACACCTGGTTATTGTTTATTGTTATTATTTTCCACATTTTAAAATATTAATTAGGTCATAAAAAAGGTAAAAGTATAATATTTTGTAGTAAGGCTAAGAATATTGTTATAATTCTATTACATTTCCATTTCTATTTTGAAGTTTGTACAAAAAAGTAAAAAAAATGGAATTATATAATGGCCAAATATTGCTCTTATTTTTTTATAGCATATTTATATTGAAGTCTGTACATAGGTGCAGTTTATATTTTTCTTTAAATCTAAATTGAAGCATTTAGCTCAGAAGGTTTTTAAGATCATGAGAAACACAAATTCACTCGTGTGTCATAACGTTTGAGTGGTACTCTATGATTTTATGTTATTTTTGGTTTGTTACTTGCAGTTTATCAGATGAATTATCTTATTGTGTTGTGAAGGTTAGTCCCTCTATAGCAGATAAAGTTTCTGCCTCAGAAACAATGATATTAGTAAGTTTTAAGATTGTAAGTTTAAAGTGCCAGTTCTTAGGCGACCTGGAGCTTGGTTTAAAAATGTTACGTTTTTTTGTGGCATCAGCCCAGATATTTAATTATCTATCACCAGCTATAAATGAACTGAAAGGTTTGTTTTTCCTGTGTTTGCAGGATCCATCAGTGACTCAGCACAGCAGCAACACTGGCTATGCCACGCTGGACCTCTACAACCCATTTGACAACAACACAACAGCGGTAAATATGTCCTTCCTGACTTGAGCAGGCTGTGTTTACATAGCCTTTAATTATTAATACATGATGGGAGTACAATGAAGTATAAACTCTATTTCATGTCAACTGCAGTTGCCTCTGCGCTGCAAGAGAAAATTCTCATGAGAAACTTTCATTATTGTGTTTCGTAATATTATGTTATGTTTTTAAAGATGTCAGTTAATTTGTTGCGTCATACCAGTCCTGCATCATTATGATGGCTTATTTTTGCTTAATTAGATTTTTATTAAGCTGATATTATTTGTTTTGGGTAATGAAGCCTCCACCACCCTATGAAGCCACATCTCCTGCTGCACCTCCTGCCCAGACGCCTCCCAGCAGGACCACACCAACCGAGCCCAGGAATTATGGATCCTATGGAACACAGGTGCTGTTTAGAGTAACTAAATGAGACATATTTGTTCACACAGGGCCATGGCACTGGATTGTTACATCTGGTAGTTTATAAAGATTTTTACTGCAACAGTTACAGCACACAGTTGCCCCCTCATCAAGCAGTGTATGCAATAGGATTTAAACTATAAAGCAGTATTTTAATACCATTCTGTTAAGATCTAGAACTGTCACCACCATAATGCAATTCTACAGTGGTTATTGGGCTGTTTTAACAGTTAAATATTGCATGATGGACAGTTATATAATTTGATCTGATAATTATTTAGTTTTATATTTGGACAGCTTTCAGATTTTTTCACCAAATGGATAGTATGATTAAACTGATTTGTATGAATAATCAGGATGCATCAATGATGTAGGATGCATCAAATTGATCATTTATAATGTCACAAAAGATTTCTATTTCAAATAAATTGTTTAAAAAAAAAAATAATTATTCATCAAAGAATCCTGAAAAAAAAAATCACAGTTTCAACCAAAAATATTCAGTAGTAACAACAGTTGCAACAACATTGATAATAATAAGAAATGTTTCTTAAGCAGCAAGTCAGCATTTTACAATTTCTTAAGGGTCATGTGACACTGAAGACTGGAGTGATGATGCTGAAATTTCAGCTTTGCATTACAGGAATAAATTGCATTATATATATATATATATATACAGTGGGTACGGAAAGTATTCAGACCCCCTTCAATTTTTCACTCTTTGTTATATTGCAGCCATTTGCTAAAATCATTTGTTAATTTTTTTTCCTAATTAATATACACACAGCACCCCATATTGACAGAAAAACACAGAATCGTTGACATTTTTGCAGATTTATTAAAAAAGAAAAACTGAAATATCACATGGTCCTAAGTATTCAGACCCTTTGCTCAGTATTTAGTAGAAGCACCCTTTTGATCTAATACAGCCATGAGTCTTTTTGGGAAAGATGCAACAAGTTTTTCACACCTGGATTTGGGGATCCTCTGCCATTCCTCCTTGCAGATCCAAATAGAAAACACTTTATCTTTAATTGCAATAATGTTTGAGAATATAACTGTTTTTACTGTATTTTTGATCAAATCAATGCAGACTGGGTGACCCCACACTTCTGAACGATGGCATATTTTCTACTAATTAATAAACTAAACGTTCATACTGCTGTGGAAGAGTAAACACAGCTGAATTTCAACTATAGTTTTGCTCCCTGTTGAGTTGCAAACATTTGACCATAAATATATCTCATCAATTTAATACTGTGCTGGGATGCTTATTAATGTGGTAGTAATAGAAAACAGTTATGCATTTCATAATTGTTAGCTGCCTCTCCCTCTATGTCTGTTGCAGTCTGCAGTGAATGCCACCACAGCAGATCTTTTGAGGAAGCAGGAGGAACTAGAAAGAAAAGCAAAAGAGCTGGAGAGAAGAGAGAGAGAGCTGAATGCACATGCGCTTGGGTCTGGAGCCAGTGAGTGTAGCAATATCTTGATTTCTCGAGAGAAAAATATCTTGATTTCTGTGTTTGCCAGGGGAATTAAATGTAAATGAAACTTCTTGAACCCACAGTGATCTTCAGTTTTACTGCTGGCATTACATGCTGTAAAAGTTTCGGTGGCAGTTTGCAATTAGTATTGCCATTCGCAAGCTGTTTAATACAATTTTAATGCTAAAGCAACTCATAACGCCTTAGAAACCACATAGGAATGACCTGGCAACCATTCATAACATTGTCTTGCCAGGTGTTACATGTGCAACCACCACTCACATTTTTTTATAATGTACTTATCTAGATGCATTACGGAAGAGTTTTGATGAAAAGTATTTCAGCTATCAAAACGAGTGAAGGACTCTCAGCAATTCTGCAGATTTTCAATGCAGAAAGTGTGACAAGCAATCGGTGTGTTTTTTAAGAATGAGAGGCTTCATTTCAGTCAAGATTAGCAGAACATACAAAGCGTAACACATTTAAATAACACATTACTTCGTTTTCCACTACAGGTATTTTTTCACTTCTTTTACACTTTTTTGAATCCTGATAAAGAATCTGCACGAAAGAAAGCAAAGTGCTGCAGCAATAGATATGTAAAAGATGATGAGACAAACAAGTGCATTTGAAGAACTGATGTGATTATTTAGATGGACTAATTGTTGGTTAGGGTTACAATGAAAGTGCAGAGATGGATGAGACCTGAATGAGAGAGGAGGGGACAAAGAAATGGAACGGTTAAAAAGATGACAGTGATGGATGGACGGTATTTTCAAAGGAGTAGGATTTAGACCTCGGTGGTAATGAACAAGACATTAATGGAGTGATGCTAGCAGATGTGATTGATGAATGGGGAAATTAATCTCTTTCTGTGTCCTTCTCCCTCAGCTCGTCAGAATAATTGGCCCCCATTGCCCTCCTTCTGCCCGGTGGGACCGTGCTTCTATCAGGACATTAATGTGGAGATTGGCCAAAGCTTCCAGCGCACTGTCACTACCATGTACTACTACTGGATGTGTAAGTTTGCTCGGTTTAGTATGTCTTTTGCAGTGTGTGGAAGGTTCTGCTTTGTATCTGTCCTCCATCATTTTTAGTAAATACTTCAATTATGAATTTATCATGCGTGCTTTTGTCTGTTAAACTGAAATAGTTAGTCTCCTCTGTAGTGATTGACCAATACATTGGCCAGATTTATTAATCACCAGTATTTGGTAATTTTGAGATGTGAATCTTCCAAAAAGCCTTTTCAATGGACAATGGACAATGGACCAAAAAAAAAAAAAAAAATATATATATATATAGTACTTATCATAATGCTGATATTGTACTTTAATTTTATTAATTAATACATTTTTTTATTTATGCATTTAGCAGACGCTTTTATCCAAAGTGACTTACAGTGCATTCAAGCTATATATCTTTTACCAGTATGTGTGTTCCCTGGGAATCGAACCCACGACCTTTTGCGCATTATGTCATAATGGTGAATAAATGATGACAGAATTGTATTTTTTGGTTGATTTTTTGCTTTAGTTTGAGCAATTTTGTGTATAGTTCAATTGTGTTGTGTCACATATCAGCAGTTGCTCCCTAGTATAGGCATATTGATCAGTCACTACTTCAGTAGGTTACTTGGCTTGCAATTGCAATTGGCCTGTAGTTTTCCTTTGTACTTCTCTTTCTCTCTCTTTTTACCCACTACTCTCATCTTTTTTTCTTAGTTACAGCATGCACTTTGCTCTTTAATCTCATCTCCTGTTTGGCTATGTTCTGTGCGGATCCCATTAATGGAGTTGGTTTCGGCCTTGCCATACTCTGGTTTCTCCTCTTCACCCCCTGCTCCTTTGTTTGTTGGTACAGGCCTGTGTACAAAGCCTTCAGGTACGTATCACCATGGTCTGTCGTGAGGGTGGGACACCTAACTTGTGTCAATTTTTTTTTTTCAGCTGTAGCAAACCCATTTCAGCAATACTTAGATATTAAGTGCATTTAAAGGAATAGTCACCCAAAATTGAACATTTTCTAAAAGTTTACTCACCCTCAGGCCATCCAAGATGTAGAGGAGCATCTTCTTTCTTCATCGGAACAGATTTGGGGAAATTTAGCAGTACATCGCTTGCTCATCAATGGCTCCTCTGCAGTGAATGGGTGCCGTCAGAATGAGAGTCCAAACAGCTGATAAAAACATCACAATAATCCACAAGTAATCCACACGACTCCAGTCCATCAATTAACATCTTGTGAAGCAAAATGCTGCATGTTGTAATAAACAAATCTATCATTAAGATGACTTTAACTGCTTAACCATTGCTTCCAGCTAAAATACTGGAAAGTCGTCTATGCATATTATTGCTTTCTTCAGTAAAAAGTCATCTTGTCTGAATCAGGAGAGAAAGAAATCAAGCATCGAAATTAACATTTACGAAAATGTTGATAGATTTTGATGTGAGATAGGGATGGGCATATCGATTCTAAGTATCGATATATCGATACTGACGCGAGTATCGAAATATTGAATGTTAAAATGTGTTTTAAACGAAGTTAAGTGGTTATCATTACCCATTTTACTCTTAGTAATTTAATAAATTTCATCATTTAAAGTTTAGTTCAGAAGTATCGTATCGGTATCGATGATACTGCCTTGAAAAATATCGGTATCGTATCGAAAACAGAGTAAGTGGTATCGCCCATCCCTAATGTGAGAGGACAACGGGATTTAAGATTTAAAGCTTTAAACTTTGAAGTTTAAGGTTACAACTCTTAATGATGGATTTGTATCTTAGTAACACACAGCTTTTCACTTCACAAGACGTTAATCGATGGACTGGAGTCGTGTGGATTACTTGTGGATTATCGTGTTTTTATCAGCTGTTTGGACTCTCATTCTGACGGCACCCATTCACTGCTGAGGATCCATTGGTGAGCAAGCGATTTAATGCTGAATTTCTCCAAATCTGTTCCCATGAAGAAACAAACTCATCTGCATCTTGGATCGCCTGAGGGTGAGTGCATTGAATTAATAATTACTAATAGAATTATTAATTGAACTTTTCCTTTAAGGGCATTAAGTGTCATTATTTCTGCTTATTACTGAATAAACTCATATCATAGTATTAAACTTTGGCATAAAACCTGTTCTGCAGATATGAGTGATATCTCAAATTATGCAGATTTCAGACAATTTTTTTTTATTTGCTCAATGACAAAAAAGTGGAAAATAATCATGAAAATGTTTAATAGTTTGTTATACCATTATGTTAACATTTTTTGAGCGTTTAGAATTCATATGTCAGCCAGTTGTTTCCAAACATAATGAATTTGTCATTGTGCGCTTCCGTTTCTCAACAGGAGTGACAGTTCCTTCAACTTCTTTGCATTTTTCTTTGTCTTCTTCGCCCAACTGGTGCTTTATGTTATCATGACTGTCGGTATCCCTGGCTGGGGCTTCAGGTGAGCGTGATAAAACAGACACATTTGTACAAATTGAGTTACTAACCTGTTTATTGTTATTTAGTGTCATTCCATTCTTACAAATTTGGCCACTGGCTTGTTACTTTCTCTCTCATTTGTGTCACAGTGGGTGGATCGTGAGTTTAGCCGCTCTTAGCAAGAACAAGGCAGTGGGTGCGATCATGATGATAAATGCTGTGCTCTTCACCGCTCAGGCGGCCATGGGAGTGGTGTTGCTCAAGAGGGTAAATCACATCACCAATAACAGCATCCACCGGCAGTCAAATTAGGGATATAATCTTAAGTATAAATTGAAAACCATACTAAATGTTTGATCTTCATCCTATTTTGAAACTGTGTCTTCCTCTTCGGTGGATTTTTCCACTGATACTCCAGGGTTTGACTGGCTTCTCACTCTGTAAACTAAAATAAGCAGACTTAGATACAATGCTTTAAGTGCTCAAGCATTTTAGCTGACATTTTACATTTGTCTCAGACTATATGCATCTCTCAGTTTTATAGCATTAAGTAGTACATTTTGTTTGTTGCAATAGAGATGCCATATTGTTTGGCTTTTTAGTATGTAAATGTATGGCAATTGCAGAACGCCAGCTGCTTTTCCATTTGTTATTGTTGGGTGTAGTGATTTGTGGGTCACATCTGGGTGGCTGTTTATGGATTTTGCTGTTAAAACGTGACATTCATCATGCTCTTTAGTACTTTTTATTTTGAAATAATGCTTAATGGTATCTTAAATGCAGACTCTTTGCAGAATTTGTTTTGAAATATGATTGATTTGGTTGGTTTAAAAAAACTACTAATCAAGGGAAATTAATTGTTTTAGGTGGCATTTAGTTAGTCAAAAGTGACAAAAAAGTATAATGGTTTCCACAAAAACTGTTTTTAACATTGATAATAATAAGAAATCAATACCAAATCATCAGATTAGAAAGATTAGAATGAAAAGAGTTATTTGAAATTGTAATAATATTTCACAATATTACTGTTTTTACTTTATTTTTAACAAAAAAAGCAGCCTTGGAGAAAATGATAGACTTTCAAAGACTTTAAAAAGCCAACCCCAAACTTTTGAACAATAATGTATGTAGGATTTTACTTCATAATACTTAATTAATTATATTGATCTGTTGAATGATTTTTAATTTTTTTTGCATCTTCTCCCATCAGGTTCATTCTATGTACAGGCAGACCGAAGCGAGCTTTAAGAAGGCCCAGGCTGAGTTTGCTACAGGTGTGCTTTCCAATCAGGCAGTGCGCCAGGCAGCCACCAATGCCACTGTTTCTGCCGCACAAGGCGCCTTCACCGCACCCCGGTAGAGAGACCTGAATGAAAGAGAAGAAATGATGTTGAAGAACTTGATTGCTTACACAGCCTTGAGACAAAGTGACTTATTCTAGCACTGGCCGAGTTGGAAACCAACGCACTTACCCTAGACTCCTCTAGCATGCATGTCAAGATACACAAACTCATATTGATAATAAAACATTGGATTTCTTTTTGTATTTGTTGGTCTTGCTGAGCATTAGGCCATTAGTTCAGACATGCAAAAAGGATCTAGGTGTTGGTTGATTTCAAATTATGGCTTATATGAATGCTGTCTATGAGGATCTACGATCAACTAATAAAATAGTCTTTCCGTTTATCATGCTAGAAAAAGTAAATGTAATAATTTAAGACCATAAAAATACCTAATACCACAGGCTGTGTGGCTTATAATTATTGTCTCTTTTACATTTCTGAAGCTTGTAAGTGTAAGGTACAGCAGCCTTGCTGATTCAACAAAGACGTGCCACATTCTGCCTTTGCTTTTCCCTTGACTTCTTTCTTTGTGTAAATAGCTGTACATGGCAAGGAAAGGGATAATTTCATTGCTCTAGAATGGAGGTTGCTACTTAGAACCTGTGAAGTTTAACTTGCCAAATGTTTTTCTTAAACAAAAGAGAGAAATCCCATATCTTATTTTAGAGATTCACGACGGATGGATTTCTTGCTTAGACCTTTATTTATGAAAAAGCATGTTTTGATGCAGCTTGAACTACTGTATGTACCTCTTTGCAGTTATACACGACTAATGTTTTATTTTCACGAGTTGAAACAGGTCATTTGTGCTTTGAAAAGCTTTGGAATACTGAATCAAATTTCATACCTTGATATAAAACTCAAAATTTCTTATCAAAATGTGGTAGCGGAGGTTGGTGCGGTTATCAGTGGCCAACATATTTGTGTTGCTTTTGTGATATGTAACTTTTTTTTTTTGTAATTTCAATCTAATGTTTTGTCTAACACTATAGTATATACCTAAATGGAAGTATTACTTGGTTGTTTTACTGTTATTGTATTGCTGCTGTATGTTCTTGTAACTGTCACGGTGTTATTTGTTTTATTAAAGTTCATGAATATACATCTTACTTTGCCTTTGCACATATGTGACCCTGGAGCACAAAACCAGTCATAAGTAGCACGGGTATATTTGTAGCAATAGCCAAAAATACATTGTATGGGTCAAAATTATCGATTTTTCTTTTATGCCAAAAATCATTAGGATATTAAGTAAAGATCATGTTCCATGATGATATTGTCAATTTCCTACTGTAAATATATCAAAACTTAATTTTTGATTAGTAATATGCATTGCTAAGAACTTCATTTTGACAAATTTAAAGTCGCCATGAAAGGAAGTTGTGGTCCTCTTTTCTTCTCTACTGTGACGTATATCCGAGTGAAACGGCAACTGAAATGAGAGGGTGGGACTTGATTTCATCCTTCGGGAATTGATTGGATCGTTGGAAGTTGGGGCGTTGCTAACAAAATGGAGGCAGATCTGAATGCCAGTTTGCAGTTATGCTGCGTTCAAGTCCTCCTGGGACGTTCGTTGTTGACAAGTCGTAATTACGACGTAAGGTGCGTTCAAGTCAGTTTAGTCGGCACAAGATGGCGGTGTACCTTCTTTTAATAAATTACAAGAAAATACAACAGGGTCTGCATTTTTTTACTTGGATTTCATTAACTAGCTGCGTAACAAGAACATTACCAATTTAAGTTTATAGGACAACTAAACTATCAATTTAAACAAAAATTTACCGTCAACTACAGACGTTGCATCCATCGATTCCGCCATGTTTCTCATTGACACGCCCCCAACTCGGAAACTCGGGGCTTAAAGAAAATTTCGAGTTTCCCACTGGTAATAACGACTTTGTGGTGGCGTTCATGTGCGTTCAACTCGTAAATACAATCTATCCGACATGACTTGAACGCACCATTAGTGGTTGGGGATTTCTCTCCACTGGATTCACCACCGACACCCAAGCATGAAGAAATGTTTTATTTATTAAGGATGACGACGACGTTCAACGGCACAAAACATGCCTAAACAGCGCGAGAGAGAGAGACTGCCTGAATGACTGAGCGCGTCCTCCATCAGGTTAAGTCATATTCATGAAAAAAAGTAGTTTTGCGATGGCCTAAGAGTAATGTCATAATATCTTTTCAATGTTTAGGGGTAACGTACTCCCTCATGACTGGTGTCAGTGCTATAAAGTGAAGCATCAGCTTCAGCTTTTCCCCGTCTTTTATCCCAGCGTTTACCCTCACATCACTAGCTCCGCCCTTGCGCCATAGCTCGTGACCAGAAGAGAAGATGAGTCGTTTTGAGGGGGAGGGGAGGTTAACGTTTTTGATTAAAGATTACTGAGGGCATATGAATTAAAAAAAAAAGTATGAAGTGCACGGATAAATTATTTATAATAAACACTACAGTATTCCATTAAAAAAATAAGAATTTTCAATTTTGATTTCATGGTGACTTTAAAGGCGATTTTCTAAATATTTGGATTTTTTTGCACCCTCAGATTCCAGATTTTAATATAGTTGTATCTCAGCCAAATATTGTCCTATCATAAAAAAAACCATACATGAATGAAAAGCTAATTTATTCAGCTTTCATATTCTTCTTTTTTTTAATTTACCCTTATGTCTGGTTTTGTAGTCCAGGGTCACATATTAAACGACGAAATGAGAGTCCCGCCCCAAACTCACTCTATAGACCAATTCAGAGTAGACGTCACAGTTACGTCACTGCGCGCGCATAGTGGTTGCAGAAAAACACTGGGAACAAGTGTGACGTGACATGTGACATGTGGCCAAGTATGGTGACCCATACTCGGAATTAGTGCTCTGCATTTACCCATCCAAAGTGCACACACACAGCAGTGAACACACACACACCGTGAACACACACCCGGAGCAGTGGGCAGCCATTTATGCTGCGGCGCCCGGGGAGCAGTTGGGGGTTCGGTGCCTTGCTCAAGGGCACCTCAGTCGTGGTATTGAAGGTGGGAGAGAGCGCTGTACATTCACTCCCCCCACCTACAATCCCTGCCGGTATGAGACTCGAACCCACAACCTTTGGGTTATGAGTCCGACTCTAACCATTAGGCCACGACTTCCCCCAAGTGGAGATAAATGGGTAAAATATTTTTGTGCCTTTTGATGTCAAATCATTTTTATAGAATACTGTCGTCAAAGACGCCATTTGAAGCTAAACGCAGACATTTAAATGGACATACTATGGATGAAAACTGTTATGATTACTCTACTTTTAAAGCATAAATTCGATTTAAACAATAGGTCTACATAATATTCACATATGCTGTTCATAGGGGACGTATTGTATTAGCCCTACAGTTACAGCATGAAATATTATTTAAACCTTACTAATAGAAATATTATTTAAAGGGGTCCTATTATGCTTTTTCACTTTTTCAACTTTAGTTAGTCTGTAATGTTGCTGTTTGAGCATAAAAAAGATCTGTGAAGTTACAAAGCTCAAAGTCCAATTCAAAAGGAGATATTTTATTTAACAGAAATCACTTTTCAGAAACTACAACGAACGACTCGTTTGGACTACAACGCATATTTTCCGTGATTTGTGATATCACAGATACAGACGAGTGGGACAGACCTGGTTGAGCTGCATTAGAGAAGGCAACTAGTGTTATCACTATGTCAGAGACACGCTAGTTTCCCCAAGGCAGACAAACCTAGAGTGGTTACAATCATCCGGGTTTAAATCACGTTCAAATTGATTTGATTTTGGCACAATATTTACACAAGCTCGCTGGCGGCTATGGTAAGGGGCGTGACATTTCCCGACCAGGCGCCGAGTGCTGCCAATCACACACTGGCCCAGCTAACCAATCACAGCACACACTGGCCCAGCTAACCAATCACAGCACACACTGGCCCAGCTAACCAATCACAGCACACACTGGCCCAGCTAACCAATCACAGCACACACTGGCCCAGCTAACCAATCACAGCACACACTGGCCCAAAGCCAGAAGAGCCGAGGGGAAAAGAGAGAATGACGAGTTGTTTTTCCTTATTAGAATTGTGAGATATAATCTCGGAATTGCGAGAATAAAGTCAGAATTTTGAAATATAAAATCAAATGTACCTTTTTTAAATTATTTTATTCCATGGCTCTATAGACTGCCGCTTGAAAACCGTCATTCTCTGCCTCCAGATAGGCTCCGCCCACAAAAACCGTCATCCCTGTTTCGGATCTGTAAGACTATCCCACTCTCTGACGTCAGTTTCGTTGAATAACAGTGCTTATCGCTGGGTGACAAGCTCTTGTAATATGCGGAGAACATTTTGAAAATGACATCTAATCAATATAATCTATAATCTTTTTAAACCTAACTATTTTCATGTATATGTTTCTCAACGGCTCTGATTCTGATCTAAACTGTCTCCTTGTCAACCGACGCTCCTTTGGCGGAGGCCGCTGCTGCTGCTCCACGACAGCGGTTCTTCTGTCACTACTGTAGAGGTGAAATCGACCCCAAGCTTCCTGTAAGTACACAGCAACACTTAGTTCATGAAAATCCATGCGTTTTGTGTGCTTGCCCCGTGACTTAATTTTTCCTTCTTACAGTGATAACTTGCAGTAGAAGCACTAACGTTAACTTACAGTATTCCATAATTCATATACATGTAGCGTTTGTATGAGTTCACGAACTTCACGTGCATTGGTGTAGGACTATGGGAATGTGGTTCACGTTACACACTGACTAAAATTAAAAAAGTGAAAAAGCAAAATAGGACCTATTTAATGTGACTATTGATGAGGATTGTATGGTCTTTGAATAATATCGGTCTTTAAATGCAGAATATTTAAAGTTTACCAAAAGTCTACTTGCAATAGTTCCACTTGAATTAGCACAATCAAATATACTTCAGTATATATTTAGTTGGACTTCAGCACTACTTCCACACAATTAAAGTGCATTAAGTACAAAATTAGTTGTTCCAATTTAGCAGACTTG